TGAAGCTGAGTCAGGAAGCCTCTCTTAGATGAAAGCGCTTGCTTGCCTCTAACAAGCAGAGCAGACCCGAGATCACAGCAGAACACAGCGAGTCTAGTTGCCATCAAACAAATCATAGCACTTTACTCCAAATGCTCTATTCAAAAGCTCTGTCTCCCGCAGGAGCCAGACAGAGATCGCAATGGTGGCACAGCCCCAGGAAGTCGGGCTTTAAAATGACACAGCGTTTTTTTCTGCTATTGTTGCCGAATCAGGAAATCTCTCTACAGCACGCCAGCAACAAACAGCAAAAATCTGTGTTAAAGTCTCTTTCCCTTATTTTTAAGCCTTCTCAGTTTTTTTAAGTGGGTTTAGTCCATCACGTGGGCGCCAACTGTAGTAATAAGGGAGGCAAAGGGGCTGCTTCCCCGGCACCCCGGCTGCCTGCTCGGCTAGCTTATGCCCGAAATAATTACACGGAAACTGTATTCATTTAAACACTGCTTGGCCCATTCTCTTCTAGGCTAATTCTCACATATTAATTTAGCCCATTTCTAATCATCTGTGTGTAGCACCCCAAGGTGCGCTTACCGGGGGGATTCTAGCCTAGTCCATCCTGGGTCAGAACTTCATCCCGGGAGCAGGGCATGGCGTCTCTCTCAGGCATCTGCCCCAGAGAGAAGTGCTGTCGAGACTCTGAGCTCACTTCCTTGTTCCTCCCAGCATTCTGTTCTGTTTACTCCTCCCACCTATCCTCTAACCAATAAAATGGGCCAGGGCAGTTCCTTTATTAGCCAATGACCTTCCTCCATCACCAGCCATTACAGAAGGTGCTGAAAATTCTATCATAATTCCAAGCAAAAGTTCATTTATTAGTTTTCAGGAAAGTCAAGTTAGTGACAAAATTTTTAAAATAAAAAAATTTCATTCTACAAGAATACTATCAAAATACAGATTAATTTAATACTGTTGCTAAACAACAATAAGAAAAATTTTGTCATCTTCAGTTTTATGTAATTAAACCAGTTTGCTTATACAAGCAAAAGAGAAACCAAACTCAAAACAAAACATAGCACTGTGTGTGCAGTAAAAAAAATGCAATTCATAACCTACAGGGACCTAGATTGTGAATCAGATGTTTGAAACAGTGTTTTATGTGCTTAAAACAATGACATTTGCAGTGCAAACTGCACTTGTTTGTTCACCAAAACTGCAAGGAAGGCAAAGGGCAAGAGGATTAAGGACTGCCAGAACCACATCAGACTCACCGCATTTTATTCTCAATGATTTTTAAGGTTTTTATATTTTAAAACCATTGTCAACTACAAATATTTTCCAAAGTCACATGGGAATCACAACTCACATTTTAAGAAAATGAGATTTTATCATAAACATGAATAATTCATGATTGATGAGTTCAGAAGTATACTATTCAGGGTCCTTAAAGTATAAAGTCGTTTGGCCAAACTGTGATGGGAAGTAGTATGATATTATAATCTCTATGGTAAAAATCAGAGTACCTAACAGTAAGTGAATATTTATGGTTTTGAAGTTTGCAATGCCCCCATGGAACCAATTTAGACTACTGTCCAGTAGAGAAACCTCTTCTTAACCTCCAGTGAACCCCGAGTCTTTGTGGGAATTCAAGTTCTTCAACCCTTCCTCCACTGGAAAGGTAGGCCAGGGTATAAAGTTTCTTGCATTGAAGGAAAGGTCATATAAACAAAGTGTGCTGTCCTTAGACATGAAACTTCCAAACAACTTATTATAAAAAAAAGTTGTAATCATCATGCATGGTCCTGCTGAAAAGTAATGCTGTACTTGTTATTATTTAGATGACTGATGCTTTTTAAGGATCTCTGCAATTTTTTCTTGATATAGGTAAGATACAAATGAGTTCTGTGGTATTCACCATGTTTTCAACAGAAATTTAGAAAGCATCTTATTTCATAATAATTTTATACATCTGGGTATAAAGAAAAAGCAACAACAAATAATTGCTTTTATATTTTAATTCATGATTAAATATAAATGAGCAAAATATCTAGAATTGCTATCCTTAAGAATGGTTTTTAATGTAATTTATTTATTGACCCTTTGGGAGTGTCAAATCATGCACCCCAATTCTAATCATTCCCCAGTCCCCCATAGCTATGATTCACCCTTGCAGCATACCTCCTAAAAGAAAATAAAGCAAAACCACAAAATATTTAAAACTAAATTAAACCAAACCAACCAATCAAATTCAGAAAAAACCCTCTTTGTTTTTTGGTCTTTCCCACGTCTCTAACACCTCTTTATTCATTGTAGTGGCATCAGGAACTACAGTGGGTCACACTTTATGCAGTCTTTTTACCTTACAAAAATGATTTTAGTTCTGAGTTTAGCATTTAACAGCTGGACTATATTTTTAATCTTGATTATAATACACTCAAAATTCAATATGAAACCATAATGATACTCATACGTGCAATTCTTCTGCTGATGACAGCAAAAAGAATATTCTTTAGTCATGTTCCTTCAGAAGACTTTTAAGATTAGTTACTTAGAAGCAAAAGATTTAAAATTATATCTTTTACTTATAAAATAATACTTATGTTGTTTCTTTATATCTTCATAATTTATATTATTTATAAATGTATTCAAAATAGGTTGCTTGTATAATTGTTTCATTGAGTATTATACCTTGATATAAATATCATATATGCTTAAATACATAAAAATAAATACATATTAAGTTATGTCAAAGATATTTTCCACTACTCTTTATTGTGCTAGTGATTTGTTACATCTCCAATTTCAAGTGATTTAAGAATTTGTATTTCTTGGTGTGTTTGGGGCTCTATGGAAGGAAAACTATTCCTATTTAATTTGCCTTCAAAATTAAATATTGGCATGGTGTATATCACCTGTATACAAAATTGATCTGCATCAATTTTTTTCTACAAATATAAAACAAAAGGGAATGGAATGTAGATGATTGTTAGAGAGATATGTGAATATGTGTGTTCAAATCAAACTAATATGATTTGCATCAAAATATTTTCTAATTTTTGACATCAAATATGCATCATAGAAATACAGTAATAAATGCAGGCACTGATCATATATGCTTAAATACATCAACCACAGAAATTAATGAAATTGAATTTAATATCTCTTTTAAGAAATGCATATTCTATTGTAAACTGCATTTTGATTTTTACAAAAACAAAATGATTTTTAAAAATCAACAATAGATAATAATCCATAAAGTTAATACAAATATCAAAAACCAAATGTGAGCAACTTCTTCTTCTACACATATTTCAAGTGTAAATTTAAATAAGCTTTTATTTCCTAATTAATTTTTATTTGGTGAGATTATATTTAAGTATTTCCTCTTCCTTTCCTCTCTCCAAACAGTCCCATGTATTGAAGGATTTATATAACAAATACTAAAGGGAAAAAGGCATTCTAGGTTTTTCAAAGTGCTCTGCTGATCCCTCTTTATTCTTTTTATTTCTTTTCCTTCTTAAATTCATATACTTTCCTAAGCACTACCAGTCTTGCTTTCTCCCTTTTATTACTTCTTATACACCCATTTCCCATCAATGAAGATTGTAACTTTTCTATTTTTAGTGCTTTCTTCCTCTCTCACTTTTCAAAATGCCTTTTCCTTAAGTAGACTACATGTATAAGACTACAGTAGTCTAGGACACAAAATGAATATCAACTATCTCCCATATTTCCAGAAAATCAAACAACATTACTATGTGGCCATTTTCTTTTCATCATTTACTGCTACTTTCTGGTAATATGAAGAAAACTATTTTCTCCTGGCCATTAAAGTTTTCTCAATTTCAGCACTCAGGTAACTCTTGCTATTTACTCACAAGATCTTTTTTTTTTGACTTCTGAAACTATATTTGTGTTTCCTTACTTGTCTTTCCTTTGATATACTTTGAAGTAAAGTGGAATCTAGAAGTGACTGGATTTAACACAGAAATTTTGGGAATATCAGAATAATTAGTGGAAAAAACATGGGCATTATTACACAAAAGATCTAAGTGGTCATACATGGTCATTAGGGTTAAGCCGACAGTAGACCAATACAAGTAAGTATGTGCTTTTCATGTTCAGTGATAATGACCAGAAGACTTGTGTATCTTAATTTCAGAAAACCATTTGAAAATACCATATCATATAGTCAACAAATGATGTTTTAATTCCAATAAATTCTAAGTTCACCTATAATGTGTCCCTGTATTGTAGTTGCTCAATATTACAAATCCTTTCCAATGTATATCTGTCTTCCTAGTTTTCTAGTATTGACAATGTCCATTCTCATGTTTAAATAACTTCATTTTCATTGAATATCATCAGAAGTAGTTCCTTTATAAAGTTGGCCATTAGATTCTTGTTTATAAGCTTCTTTGCCAACTTACAACTAACTCTTATGGTCTACAATTTGAATAAATATTCCTAGAAAATCTGTTGTACACAGGAGCTTCTGGGTCATTAAGACTTTTTTATATTACTAATTCCTGTTTACCCCTACTAGAAACTAATTTTATCTACTTCTGAACAATAACTTTTGAAAAAATTCCTTGGTCACTATATATTGTAAGATTTCACTTTATTAAATTATAATATTTGTATGGATAAGAACCCTTCGTTGAATTTCCAGTATAATGTAGGTGCTTAAAACATCTTTTGCCTTGATTATGAATATGTAACACAAAAATAATTCACACCAAGCCAATTTGTAAATTCACACTCTTCACACAATTGAAAGATATCTTTTACTTGAATATTTTAATATACTCACATTTTTATTAGAAAAAGAATTGAAACAATTTCTTCACTCTGAAGAAAAGTTGTTATCTTATATAGTGATATTAATTGAAATATTATGGCCATTCTTATGTATATGATTGTATTTTAAATTCTACTACCCAAAATTTGACTTCACTGATTTTTATGAATTCTGTGTGATAGCCATCATTCATTTCTCATTCTCAGGGACAAACAGAGAGGACATGGGAACAGGGAATGCAACAGTCCTGACACAGTTTGTTCTCACAGGACTCACTCATCTGCCACAGTGGGAAATCCCCCTCTTCCTGCTGTTCCTGGTGATCTATCTCATCACCATTGTGGGGAACCTTGGTCTCATCACTCTCATCTGGAATGACCCTGACCTTCACATCCCCATGTATTTATTTCTAGGGAGTTTAGCATTTGTGGATACTTGGTTATCATCCACCGTGACACCAAAGATGCTAATAGACATTTTTGCTAAGAGTAAACTGATTTCTCTTTCAGAATGCATGATACAGTTTTTCTCATTTGTAATCAGTGCAACCGCAGAATGTTTTCTCTTGGCAGCAATGGCCTATGATCGCTACATAGCCATATGCAAGCCATTACTCTACCCAGTGATCATGACAAATAAACTCTGTATTTATCTGTTAATATTGTCCTTTATAGGTGGATTTATTCATGCTTTAATTCATGAAGGCTCTTTACTAAGACTAACATTCTGTAATTCCAACACAATACATCATTTTTATTGTGATGTTATGCCACTGTTAAAGATTTACTGTAGTGATCCTTCTCTCAATTACCTAATGCTTTTTATTTTCTCTGGCTCAATTCAAGTATTTACTATTTCAACTAACCTTATCTCTTACACTATCATTCTGTTTTCAATCTTAAATCAGAAATCTACCAAAGGCATAAAGAAAGCCTTCTCCACATGTGGAGCCCATCTCTTGTCTGTGTCTTTATACTATGGCCCTCTTCTTTTCATGTATGTGCGTCCTGCATCTTCACAAGCAGATGATGATGACATGATAGATTCTGTATTTTACACTGTCTTAATTCCTGTACTGAATCCAATTATCTACAGTTTGAGAATTAAGCAAGTAAAAAATTCATTGGCAAAATTCTTAAAAAAAATACTTAGGTCTCAATATTATCTATTGTATTCTTATTTAAATATCAAAATACTGTGCAGACTTAATTTGGAAGTATTTTTACACTGTTCAAAATATTTTGAAGATGAACCTAACCTAGAATTTTGCTGTTGCTGTTGTTTTGTAGGGTATGTTTGTCATGCATGCACACGATTGTCTAATTAGTTCTATTTAGTCGTGAAAACTTGTACATTGGCAGAGGATGTCAAGTGTCCTGCTTATTCACTTTTCAAGTTATCTTCTTGAAAGAGTTTCTTTCACTGAACACGGAGCTAGAATTTTTACCTGTTACTCTCAACAATCCTTTATATACACCCCCACATCACTAATATTACAAGCTTGTTTGGGGCCATGATCTATTCAACAGTGGAATTTAAAATACTTTCCTACTGTCATTTCTATACTATGTTTCTGGAATAGGAAATACAGTTATTCATTGTTTTGCAACAACTATTCTTACACACTGATTATATTCCTGTTTTCTAGAACTATTATTGAAATGGACTCTTGTCTGTGCACCCATTTCCTTAAAATATTTAAAATGAATGTTAAATTATAAAAATACTTGTAATATCTTCAGCGCAATAGAACTAATACATCAGAAAGCAAGTTAAAATACTTTAACGGGTTTGTATGCCATTCATTATGTCATTGTAAATACGTTAACTGTCATAATGTATATATACAAAGAAATGTGAAGATATGCATATGTATTTCTGTGTATTTGTGTGAACTAATAGTGATGTGATCTCATTTGTGTATATGATTATATCTGTGGACATATTTAAACATATTCATTTTCCCACATCCCATATTTTTCATCCTGGCATTATTCCAGGTTCTTTCATAAATAATAAAAGTTGACTCTGCTATTTGGGGGAATTGGCAGGTTGGGAAAACTTTAACATATGGGTTATGTGGGAGATTTTGTCAATAGAGGCATTATTTGAAAAATATTGTCAGAATCTGTTCCAGTCATCTTTCCACTTTTAGTTCTTTAGACCTGAAATGAGAAGTGTTATTCTACAGTGTAATTTACCTTGACACCAAGCCTCAAATGAAAGGGTCAACTGGTAAAGCAATAAAATCTCTAAATTGTGAGCTACACTAAGCCTTTCTCGTTATTAGTTGCTTTACCTGGGCTTTTTGTTTTAACACTTGTGGAAAGTAGAGACAAATTTACAACTGAAATTGGAGAATTGTAAAAGAAATAACCAATTTGATGAATTTTTGTAGCAGATAGTATAATCTCAGAGAACAATAGCAAGCTACATTCTCTATAGGCATATTTATTATTCTTGAATAACATTATCCTTTCATAATACTTCATTTTGGCTACAAATTTGTTCCCATCACATTTTAAAGTTTTATTCCACTTTGTCTTTTGAAATACAAGCATGGTTGTCTGTACACAAGAAACCTTAAAGAAAATTTGTGCAATTAAAATGAATCTTTAAGCAAAAAAAATATACAGAATGAAGTAAGGAGGGATTGCTCCTGTTAATCATATAAAGAATTCAGAAAGACTATGGACTTGGAGTAGATGTTTCCAGTCAACTCATCTTTAGTCTGCATAGCATTCAAAAGCAGTTTAAACTGATAAAATGATGTTCCTCTCAAAATTAGATATGAATTGTTGTATGTAGATTCTTTCAAAATATATTCAGTCGTGAATATTATATAATAAAAACCATATTTTAGCAAATATAATTATTGTCTTAAATTTGGAAATCAGGCTGACAGATTAGAGCAGGTCCTGTAATCCTCAAAGATAAAAAATAGAACCTAATAGGCCCAGTAATGTAACATCCAAACTTCTATGAATTCATATGTGTGATTTCCTTGTGTTCAGAAATCACCAGAGGCAAAGGTAGATAGCATACCTCATGCTTATAAATGCTGAATAGCTACAAGAAAAGCTATGGCCAGGCATTTATAAAAAAAATAAGACTCTTGTGATTTATTTGTGACCTGGGTGATAAGGCCCCCAAGGAGGGAAAGAATAAAAAGTAGTAAAACATCCAACAACAAACAGGTCTTGTAATCCACAACAGAACCTTCAGAACCCCAGGAAAGGATGTTTCAAACTGCTATGAGTACATATATTCAACTTCCTTGTGTTCAGGTAGTACTCTTACCTAGATGTCATCCACCACCTCTAGCTCTTTAATTTTTCCACCCCATCCATCTCCTGCAATGATCCTTGAGAACTGGGAAGGCAGGGTATGATGTAGGTTCCCCATTTAGGATGGAAAATCTATAGTGCCTTATTCTTTTTACCTTATCCAGTTGTAGATCTGTTTCAGTTACCTGCTACTACAAAAATAAGTTTCTGTATGAGGATTAGAAGCTCACTAATCTACAGGTATAATGATAAATCAGCAGGACCCAGTTTAATACTTTGCATATTTAGGACTGTAAAAGTGGTAGATTATCCCCATAGGGTCTACCATATGTTTATCCATAGGGACTTAATATATAAGAATAGTGAGTCTCAAAATATGGACTGTGACTTACGTACAATAAAAATGTAATTCACACCACCATTGCACAAGTGTGTACATTTTACTCACTTGTTATAATTGTAACCCGAAAGGTTAATTGATCAAAAAAAATAAAAATAAATAAAAATAAATCATTAGACACTAGACATTGAGCTAAAGAATTTATTCTTGGCCTCCTACAATTCTACCTTGCTTTGGCCCACCATTTCCTCAGTATATCTCCACTCATTCCTTTTGGAATGGGAATTTATATTCTGTGACGATGTATATTAGAAGTATACAATTTGTCTTTCTATTTTACAGGGGTCATAGTTAAGAAATGGCCTTCGGTCTCAATAAAGACTTTAGACTGTACATTTTTGACAGCGTTGAAACCATTAAATACTACAAGAACTTAAAAACTGGAATAAATGCATCTTGTATCATGACATGGTCATTAGTCTATGGGAGCCAGATAATAGGCAGTGGTGCTTTGAATGACCAATGTGCCTCCATAGCTCATGTATTTGTACTTCCATGTCCCCATTGTAAACAACCCCACAGTTGGTTTTGCTCTTTATGGATGCTATAGAATTTCAGATTACGAATTTTGATTTAAGTGGGTTTTTAGAGATTATGATTTCATCCCTTTTCCAGTTTGTTGTGTTTTCTGGTGTGTTGAAGAAATGTAATCAACCCACTTTTTGCTAAAGTTGCCTGTTGTCGTTCTGTTGATATCATTTTATACACTAGCCATCTGAAAACATAAATATTTATATCAAATTATGATGTGGTATTAACTTACTAAAGCAATACTATAAGTCAATTTCCTTAGTGTAATGAGAGTAAATATGACAGTTATTAAATTTACATTGACTTATTCAGATTATATAATTGAGATGAATAATTAACTATTTTGGAATTGCATTAATATATTGTATAATATATTAATATATTCTAATGATTTAAAGAATAATAGTTTATATATGCAACATTTTTATTTTTAAATTTCATATTTATAAAATTATTTTAATGAGTTACAACTAGTGATCTGTAGACCTGGAAGATTTCTTAAAAGTACTATAACTATTTATAACTTTCTTAACAGCATTTATTACCTCCTTATTTCTCAGGCTGTAAATAAAAGGGTTTAACAAAGGAATTATTATTGTATAAAATACAGCCACTGGTATATCTTTATTCCCTTCTTCAAATGGTCGAATATACATGAGAAGACAGATGTAGAATATTGACACAGAAAGAAAGTGGGATGCACAAGTGGAAAAATGCTTTTCCTCTCCCATCCTTGGATTTCATCTTGCAAATAGTAAAAAGAATGTAGAAATAAGAGACCAAAACAGTGGCAATGGTAAAGACTTGAATTGGCATTGAAAATATATATATCATTAGTTCATTAATAAAAGGGTCTGTACAGGAGAGCCTATAGAGCGGAAGAATATCACAGAAGAAGTGATCAATCCGATTTGATTTACAAAAAGTTAACCTTAAAAGACAGCCTACATGAATCATAGAGTGCAGATTACTGGCAATGAAGGTACCTACACTCATCTGAATGGAGAGCTTCTTGGACATCATGGTGTGGTACTGCAGAGGGTTACATATGGCCACATAGCGGTCATAGGCCATTGCTGCCAGAAGGAAGCAGTCTGCAGTTTCAGCAACACAGAGAAAATAGAACTGTGCCATGCATTCATAGAGAGAAATCCTTCTGTCCACAGAAAAGAAGTTTTCTAGCATCTTGGGAGTGATGGCACAGGAACAGCAAGAATCCATGAGAGCCAGGTTTCCCAGAAAGATGTACATGGGTGTGTGAAGACGGCGTTCCATGTAAATCAAGACCACCAGCCCGAGATTCCCAATCATGGTGACCAGATAGATGACAGAGAACACCAGGAACAGGAAGGTTTTCAGTTCTGGGTGATCTGAGAATCCCACCAGGATGAACTCTGTTGTTAAAGAGTGATTGGTCTTCTCCATTCTCATTTTTTTCTGATGAGATAAAAATTGCTAAGAAGTTTGATTAATATTAGAGACAGAATATGTCTTAGTCTCCCTCTGTATTTTCAGTGATCAGGTAAGGATATCTTCAATTTACCTTAGCCGTTTCCTGAAATATGTCATGGTAGGTTAAGTGGTATGAAAAGAAACCACTCATCGATTGTGCATATTAGTATAATTTTGGAGATTTCTGTTTAACTCCTAGATGCCTCACATGCATTCTTGAAATATGTCTCTTTTAAAATTCATATTCAGCCTATGTCATTTTCTATTTTTCCATATTGAAAGAACTCTATTGTGTTCTTTTCAAAGAAAATTCTATAGGCTCTATGAGATCTTTAAAAATAAATTTCCAAGTAAATATTTTAGTGAATAATTGATAAAAATCTTCATGGAATTTAATGTTTGAAAAATATTTTCCTTTATTATTTATATTTTCCCACTAGAATTATTGTGGGATTTTTTAAATGAAGTTTCAGTTAAACTTTTAAGTTTGGTTAAGATTATGGAATATTATATTTTTCTCTTAAATTATTTCTCTACTGATTACAAGATATTCAGGATCTACTCTGTCTCTCGTTTAATAAATTTCCAAAGAATTGCACCTAACATTCCTCCATACTGGTATTTTCTGTATAGTTTCTAGTATTTTACATATGTCCA